AACTACTCACCAGGTTATGCATCTGCTCTGTAGTGGCCGCATAGGAGGGCCAACGTGGGTGAACCACGCTAATGTAGTACCTACGTGATTCACGTGAGATAATTTCACTTCCCTTTGTAGTTCGATTTTTGTTCTCACAGACAGCCGCACTTCCTCGTCTGTTTCGCAACTGTTAGCGGCACCGCTATCACCGCTATCACAAAACGACAAGTCGTTACTTAGGATATGCCGTCATAAACTTGCGTCCTTGATAGCCACGTTGTTTTGGTCTGATTTTTGTTTGATATTCTACTGAAATGACAACAACCACGAGCTGCACATGTCTACAATACATTCACACCACCCATGTTCCAAGCAGCGTGAATCATAGTTGGAACTGCCCCGAGTCAACCAATCCTTCCAGTTTGCTGGAGTTCAAAGCAACAACCCAGTTCAATGCTGGTGGAGTGACAGCGATTGATAATAATGACGTAGAAGTTATGTGCCTAGACGAGTTTTTTGAACGCAATTGCAACACTGTGATGAGGCTACCACTCTATCCACCTATCGGTTACTTTACCCGCTACGTCGTAATCCACGTTGGTGAGGAAGAGCGCGAGGTATCCATCGTATAACCCTTTTGACGACCGTGTGGCCCGCCGGTGGGCCACACTTTCACTTAGAGGCGACTCGTTTTTCGTCATTTATTTGGCATTTTTGAGTGTTTCAAAGCTGGCTGTATACATTATTAAAAGCGCAAAACAATATGCTAGTTACTAATAGTGAAATTGTTTGAGTGTTAATGGATATTGACGAAAAAATTTAAAAAGAAGTGAAGCAACGCACGCACAACGGCGGTCGTCAAAGGGTTAAATTAGTTTATAAAATCTTGTGAGGCCGCTAAGCTATTGTTCGCGCAACTGTCGGCATCCAGATCCAGGGTCGACCGTCACGCTAGCACTTTAAAAAATTTGCGATTCCCCTCCCCTGGGGGGGTCTCGATGCGAATCCCCCTATAAGTCTTATAAGGTCCCTCTTCCCCTTCTCCGGCCACCCTCACCGTTATGGTCGTTTCCACTGCATCTGATTCTAAGATAGTTGACACAACCCAGCTCTAGATCTGACCTTACTGCTTGATCAAAACCTAGGGACCAGTCATAGAATTTGAAACTCTCAAGACATAGCAAAGGGCAGAGGTAAATGCTAGTAATATCGACCCCACTAACTGAAGGCGAATACATGGGCACACTCCTGAAGGGCAACGTTTTGAACTGACACAGTCAATGTTCCATAAACCACGAGTAAACAATTCAAATCCCGAATGCTCTCGGACCAATCTAAAAGGAGGAAAGTGCAGTAAATTCGGCGGACTGACTCCGAGTCCAAAAAGTTGGTTTTGAAGGAAGGTATGAGCGCTTGAGTGCTGAAAACTCGCATGTGCACAAAAACAGAGGGGCAATTTCTTGAGGAAAACTCCTCCAATAGTGTGTTTCAATTAGATGTTCTTGAAGCTCTTGGCCTTATATTTATTGGTGTGCTTTTCGCAATAACAACCTTAAAATTACAATAATTACTAATCAACAACTACAAGACAAAGGACATGTTGCATCGACACATACCAGAAAGGAGAGAGAAGAGGGGCCTATCGGGGTGGCTCGGGAATGAAAATGAGACGCCAATCCTGAGGGAAAGGAGCTCACTGATCATGCCAAAAGCCTCAGAAGGTCACGTAGCTCTTCTTTCGCATTTATTTCTGGCTTGATGCGGTATATCTCCTGCGCTTCCATGATCTTTCTCTCCAGGGCCGTATCATATGTCTATGAAGAACGCTCACGTCAAAAGACAGAGCGTTTTCATTCTCATACCTTAATGGTTAGCGTACGGTGCTGTTCTGAGGGGCATCACTCCCCAGATGTTAGAATTTGGTGGTTCATCGCACGATCTACTTCCATTTCCATACACTTTATAATAATTATATTTATTATCTCAAAACCTTTATAAATCGAACAAGCCTAGGTCCCTACGGCGAATATGATTGAGTGTCGTTGACTCTTGAATTTGAGGTCTTGAGATTTGAGTTGACCCTATGAACCTTTCTCAAAAAGGGGGGGGCAGCTTGTTCCGCGAGTCCGCCGGCTTCACGGTCCGATCTTCCCCTCCTCCCGGAGAGATCGGACCCACATTCTCTAGCGATCAGACCAGGGTCGATGAGACCGTCGACAGCGGGAGGAGTCTTAGCCAAAGGCCTCTCTGCTCGACGCTCACGCTCTAAATTCCTGCGAGGCAGGAGGCGGAGAAGGGGGATGACATCATGAACCTGGGGTTCATGACAGGTGCCTAGAGAAACTGCTCCGTGGGTAGGTGGCTGGAATTATTCGGCGTCCTCCTGTGTTCGTCCAGGCGTATCTTCAGGGTATTTTTGACGTGAGCGTTCTTCACAGACATATGATACGGCCCCTGGAGAGAAAGATCATGGAAGCGCGGGAGATATACCGCATCAAGCCAGAAATAAATGCGAAAGAAGAGCTACGTGACCTTCTGAGGCTTTTGGCATGATCAGTGAGCTCCTTTCCCTCAGGATTGGCGTCTCATTTTCATTCCCGAGCCACCCCGATAGGCCCCTCTTCTCTCTCCTTTCTGGTATGTGTCGATGCAACATGTCCTTTGTCTTGTAGTTGTTGATTAGTAATTATTGTAATTTTAAGGTTGGTTATTCGCGCGACACACCAATAAATATCAGCCAAGAGCTTAAACTAAGAACATCTTATTGAACACAATATCAAATGAGGCTTAGGGATAGCAGCATTTTACCACTTCCAACAGTTTAAACTCTTGGGAGGAATGGAGTTAGCAGTTCAATTGGAAAACAATTTCAATTCTCTATTAGATATTAGAAAACAGTTGCATAAGAACGCAGCAATTAAAAGAGGTATTATCTTCAGAAGGTTCAAAATAAAATAGGTGGTTTCCTGAAAGTGGTTTCTTGCGGTTACATGCATACCTGACTCTATGTTAGAAATATTAGAACTTTAAAAATCCTGCTGGATGAGTGAAATTTCATGTCGCACAAAAATTTGTAAAATAGATACATAGCCAATACAAGTAGAGGGGCATACTGAGCACAATGGAGGTTAGGCGCAAACGTTGCGTCCGATTCACGGTAACGCTCAGTTTTGGGAATAATCCTCAGACTAGAGGAAGGAATCCGAGGTGCGTAAGCAATTCCCATCCGTCCCTCTTCTTAGGCTTAACACTCCCCACTCGTCCCACAAACTGGCTCCCGGAAGGACATTGCGCCGACAGTTGACCCTGTGTGTGTGACAAGCCCCATCAAGAAACTGTTATGGAAGTCACCTCCACGACAGTTCTTCCACTGCACCGAGGTGGTATGCGTCTTGAACCCTTAGCCCTATGAACTACTGTAGGCGCCCTTGTCCGCAATCGCGTCCGACGCAGGCATTCAAACATCATTAGGCGGGAGTAATTTCGGCTTTTTTCTGCCTGAGCCCTCAAAGTTTCTCTCTTATTCCCGTTCTTATACGTTGAAAGGTTATAGTTTTAGTTGACATGCTTTCACAACTGCCATCCATTCTTACTCAGAAACACTTGTTGGAATTATTGATTGACATCGATCTTTTTGTGCTGTTCTGTAACATGTTTTATTCTTGTCAGCTGTTCAGGTTTGTTTTTAATACTGTATTTTTCAAGGTAATGGCAACAACGGTTGAAAGGTCAGCACTGAATGCTTTCAAACGGATAATCAGTGAACTTCGTAAATGTGATAAGGTTGGTTTTTCACTCACAAACTGGACTGGCTGATTGATGTTTATGTTCTTTTTTCTTTTGTTTGCTTCTTTTTGATATAAAATTTATTTAGAGTTTTGGTCGGAATTCTCCCACAGTATAAATTCTTGGTAGATCAAATGAGGGATCACCATGTTACTCAGCGTGTATATTCGAAAGCACACCAGAAGAAGCCGAACATGTGGCCAATCTCTACGCAACATACTTGTCTAGGTAATTGTTTGGGAGAATCCCAATTTTCATAAGCAGACCTTATTTCTTGTTTTTGCTTGGTCTAATTTTGTGTAACTGCATTGGAAATATTCCGTGTTCTTTTTCAACCTATGAAGTCGAAAATATGGCTCTTATTCTTCCTTTAATAATAGATGAAGTTCTTATTCTCTAAAATAAGAACTTAGCCGAAAAAGGTTTGGTTTCCTGGTGTTATAGGTCTCCAAAGAAGCCCATCAAGAGGGTGGAAGTTAGAGAGCAAAGTCATGGTCTAAAAAGCCCATCAAAAGGCAGCATGAACACCATTCTTGATTCCTGGGGTCGATTTCCTTTCACGAAACCTGTACGCCTTAGCAATCTAACTACGCTATTCATTTTTGAGGAACTCGATTACCATATGTCATAAATTATAAATTGTAAAGTAATTGATAGTTGTCATAAATTTAAATTTCCCTAGAAGATTACTCCTTTGAAATTTTCACGTCAACTTGTGGTGGATTTCTTACTTCAACTCGTGGCAAAATTACTTGAATTAAAGCTTCAGATTTTTTTTCCAAGTGTAAACGTGAAATTCTTTGCAAAATCATTATTAGCGAAATGTGCTCTGAGTCAGGCTGTGCATTTGCTTCATAGAAAAACAGCATCTATTAGATGAAAACTACATACTTTTTCCAGCACTCGAAATCTGAGGCAGCTCGAAAAACGATATGGCAGTAGAGAGCGATCGGTTGAAGAAAGTGCAAGGCTAGTAGGATTAGCTCTTCCAGAAAGGAAGTAAACGAGGATGCCATTGTGCTGAAGCGTAGGATTCATGACCTCATTTAATTAGATTTATGGAGCTGATAGAATAGTAATTACTCACAGAGAATAAATGTTAATGTATGTTTCTTTTTGTGAAAACTCAAGAGATAATATTGCTCTTCTTTCTTGGAATCGTTTTGTTTCCGCATTGTTTCGCGTCATTCATGAGCTTTACGAAGGTCTAGCGCGATTTTTCATCAGAATTAATGGCGGAGGACTTCGAGGATGCGGGCCAACGGTACACTTTTCTTCTGCGGCCGGTGAAAGATTTAGGAAAAAATTTTGAAGTCAATATTGCAAAGGAGCTCGATGAATATTGCGAACGACTCGGCGATGTCACAGATGAGGCACATCAAGGAGTTGATAATCACCACAGGTTCGAGTTCTTGAGTATTTCGTTCTTGGTCTTCTTAGACTAGCCTTTGCGTTCAGTTAGGCTGCTGTAGAATTTGTTCTCACTGGCTTCGTAACTATTCAATTTGATAACTCAATAGCTTTTTTTCTGTTTTTGGCTCAAACTTGTGTTCAGGTTCAACTTTGCCGAAGCAGCGATGCTCATTCAAGGGTCGGCATATGTTTTTGGTAGAAAGGTAGACTATGTTCATTCCCAGGCAGTCCACTTCTTCGAGGCGCTCCAGCCACAGAAGACCAAGAAAAAGAAGAAAAAAGGAGGTAGTATTTGTACCGTTGATGTATTTTTCGGGATGTATAATGATTCTTGTACAGAAGAGGAAGAGGATGACGAAGGATTCGTGGACGGCGACAATGCTAGTATTGATCCATGCGATTTGGTTGACTACAGCAAAGTAAAAGTATGCAGCGAAATGTCACTTCTCAAGGACCGCGAAAGTAAGAATGAACAGGGCATTTTAAAAATTTCCAGTAACCTTCTTCTCAATGCGCACTTTTTTAAGAAAGCAAGTAGGGGTCACCCTCCGAAGATCAAAGTTATGCCAATGTCGTTAATGCCTTTGGCGGATAACGAGAAAAGTGGCGTTCTGGTCTACTCTACTGGTTACCGGATGGAAGTCATCGGTAAAATGGACGACTTTAAAATGAATGCCGGCTTTTTGAATAGCAGAGTAGGTTTGACATCACTGTTTCGCTCAGTCAAAATTAATGATTTTTTGAAATCAGTTCAAGCGAGTGTTTTAAGGGTGTCCTATTGTTGCAATTGGCCCACAACAAGATTGTCGATGAGTTTGCCAGTGAAGCTTTTCTTCGGATGTGGCATCCATATCCTCTTCAATGCTGATGGGACCATGGTTGCAAAACCGTACGGTCCCTTCTCTCTTGCTGCACTACAATGCACAAAGAATCAGAAAACGCAGTCACAGGTTCCAGATTCTGGGAGAGGATCATCCATAGGTTAAGGCGTAGGATTTTACCCATCAATTTTGGACTTAGCGTCACGGTGTTCAGGACGTGTTTGCCGGTGGAGATCATGCCCGGATATCTAGTGCAATGGAGGTCGCACGACGAGGAACAACGAACACCTTCAACGACTTGCATTCTGCTAGGTATCAATTCCTGTTTTTTTTTTTCGAAAGCTTGTTCAAAGGTTATCACTTCATTATATAAAGCCACAACTTTGGTGTGTCGGTGTGTGTGTCGTTCTGTCCTTCGGGACCAACCGCTAACAGAACCGGCATGTTCGAAGGGCTGCACGTCGTGAGGTTGATTCCAAGCGACTATGATAAACACGATTGTATAACACCGATCGGCCACTGAGCCTCAATTCTACATGGTGGCTACCATGGCATTCTAAGATTACTGGTGCTGCGTGGCAGCTGGAGGGAGGGAGGGACCAGGGGAAGGGCAGGAGCGGGGGACGGGAAGGAGAGAGTGTATCGCTTTTAAGATCACGGTTTATTATTTTTCTTGCCAGTTTAGGCTTTGTTGTATTGCCACGTGATTGTGATAATACCTCAACGGCTATATAGGGAGGAACGCAAAGCTGACGCAGGAAAGGAAGGGATTCCGGCGCTTGCCGCGGGACCAATCTGGTTGTATTAAATGCGTTAGATGCAAGCTATTACTATGGTTTCCATGGACTTGAATATATTTGGAAATCATGGCTAACTTTAGATGTTGAAGGTTGTTAAGCTTTTTGAACAAAATCGGTTGAGCTCGTTCAGGTTTTGAGAAGAGAATATTGTTTATCGCTATGTTTTTATTAACGAATTTTTATTTATCCCTCATTTCGTGACAAATTTCCAGACCGAGTACGCGCCTTCTGGAAGTGCCGGAAGTAGCGTCACAAAAAGTGAATGTGGATGCTGGAGCTGACGGTTTTGATAGTTTCGATGGTGGTGCAGACGGTGGCGACTTCACTTTACCTGTACCATGTGAAAAGAGAGCATCTCGCGTACAAGAGCGTCGTGTTATGCCGGTACTTTTCCAGTTTGAAGCATATCATTATCTCAAAAATGTTTCATAGTGAATCAGCATTATTCAGTGGGAGACCAGCGAAAACGAAACGGAAGAGGATTGTACAGAAGCGCTTGTGTTGGATCCGTTCGAAACGTGCAAGTGGAAGACAAAACCGATAGAGAAAATTGAGCGGTTTGTCAAAGGTTCCACGATCGCTGCCAGGATGGAAAAGGTTCGTCAATTGTGTTATATTGTTGTTAATAATATATCTCTTTCATCGATATTCTGGTTATTATTGGTCCAGATCATCTGAGGTATTTTTCAGAACGAAAAGAACATGACCTTCCAAAAACGCACAATGAGGACGAATGACTATGTCAAAGAACACTTCTTCATGCGGAAAAAGGTCAAAACGTATAAAGGCGATGACTGGGTGAGTGTTGCATGGTGGTCATTTCACAATCTGGCTTACGCTAATATTGTTTTATAGCAAACTGACGCTCTCTATCGGTTTATTGTTGCCGTTATGAAGAGAAGAGCTGAAGCAAAACGTGAAAGCAGAAAAGCAAAGCCGAAAGCGTTGGCAGAAGGTTGGTTCACCAACAGTTCGCAGTTGTTCTGGGTTTTTTGACTGGATTTTTGTTGTTTTCGGAATCACAGAAAATTTCCCATTCTTTCTTGCTAACTTTTGCCCATACGAGATCCTTTTCCTAGTTCACTTTTTGGTGTAAAGAGTTGGCGAGGAAGTAAGTAAATTCATTTTTCGGTGAAAAGAGTTGGCGAGGAAGTAAGTGAAACGAGTCATTTATCAAAACTTGGCATTC